CAGTAGAGGGTCCGATCTTCAAAGCCAGCCAGCCAAACCTTTGGCGGGCTATAACATTCAACGGAGTGTCATCTTCTGGATGCATAAGAATACCATCCTGAAAATGCTACTTATATCACGGAAACCTAGAAAATATACCGAAGCCTATTGAGAAAGTCAATAAACTTCTATCGAAAGGTCAAGGGACAGAAAGGGATTCCGCAAAATCGGGTGCTGAATCCGACTGGCATGCTGAGACGCTTCTTCTGGAGTATGCAAATGGAAGTAAGGTGATTTGCTACCGAAAAGGTACGATAAAATCTGTTTGGTAACACCAGAGAAACCAAAAAACTCCAGAATTCTGTAATACGGAGCTGGTGGCAGTAGGGGTTATACGGGTGAGGCATTACGGGGGTGCAGGAGAGAAAATAAGAAAAACATATAAAAAAAACACAGTATTAGATAAATTATAAAAGGGGTATATATAGTAACGAAAAGGCTCGGGATGACTGAAAAATAAATTTAAATAATAAATAATACATTGAGTACATTAACGAAATTAAAAATAAAAATAAATCACCATTACCACCGGTTCCCTGTTACAGAATTCTGGGGGCCTTTGGTTTCCTTAGTGTTACCTATAGTAGACTGTCACCATTTAGTTTTTGTATATTTTCTATGAAATATATGTAAATTTACAAGGGCATCGAAAATCAATAGAAAAAGGCATAATATTTAAGTAGTCATGTTTTAGCGATTGGTTTTCGCAGGCAGCCGAGAGAAATTGCATTCAAAAGCCAACATCCTTTCATGTCTGAAATAGCATGGGATTGTACCTTAGGATGATCAATATTGCAGCCCTACTTGGAAAAGTTAGTTTATAAGTATCGCCATAGTGTCCCATAACCCCAGAAGTCTGTAATCTGCGAACGACGGTAATGTAAACAATATATATTTTGCATGTAAGGATAGAAAATAAAAATAAGCATTCAGTCGTATAAGAAGCCGTTGTTACAACCATTGAAAACAAGTTCAATGATACTACCTACACATTACACACATAGATACGAAGGTACAACAGAAATACAGATTTAATAAACTATCTTTCACTAGTTTCAGCGTCTAGTTTTTGTTCAGATATCCTGTTTAATGGATATGCTATCTCTACATGCGAAAGGAAAATCTTTCTTTGTATTCCCGGTCCCATAAAACACAACTCCTGGGTGCCAATACAAGCGAACATGCGAGTCCCAGGGAGTAATTAAGAAGAAGACGACTCGATCGCTGGGACAAAACTTTTATTCGCCTGACGTTTCGACATCCGTCGCGGATTCTTCATCAGAGAAATGAACAGAAAACGGTAGCAGAAGCGGGTAGCATATGCACAGGAGGTTGCAGTATTTATAGGACTGAGTCATTACTGCACACGTATAACGACAACTAACGCTAATTGCCCTCTTGTGCGTGGATATCTTGTTGAGCGGCATGTGGACTCTGACTTGCTGTACTTTCATCGCGCGTGGTGGAATTGGACGCGTTGATTGCTTGGCCGTCTGGGTCCCCGGTTTTGGCGTAAGACGACATGGTGGCCAGTGCCTTCCCCAAGTGGGAATTTCCTTTGGCCAAATTGAGTTTCAGCACCGAATATGGATTAGGCAAGTCGCTGTACTTCTTTATGGACTGGGGATCCATGAACGATGACTCAAATAATTCTCGGCTCACACGACTATCACCTCTCGTTCTTGGCAATTATCGTTACTCGTCGTTATTTGTCATACGTGCGCAGTAATGAATCTGTCCTATAAATACTGCAACTTTCTGTGCATGTGTTATTAGTTTCTGATGCTGCTTTCTGCTCATATCCTCGATGAAGTTTCCGCGACGGATGTCGAAACGTCAGACGGATAAAAGCTTTGCCACAGCGATGGAATTTTTTTCTGAGAAATCTTGGGTTTTGGCTTATTCTGGTGATACATATAAACTATCCTTACCCCTACTTAATTAATCCTTCCCAATGGAAAACACGATTCCGTGTTTCAGTTACCGTTTTATGAGACCAAGCACTGACTGTATTTCATGCTAAAGTAGCTCTAGTTAGGATGGAGCGACACTGCGAGCATTACCAAAGAGCACGTGCCGAGATGACTCTTCTATGGGGACCTCCTTACGGGCACAACGGACCCTTGCGACGGTTGAACTATCAAAAGTTTATGCAGCTTTTAAGCTCCCATCTTGTTGCCTTGGTAGCTTGAAGTTAAAACTTCAGTTTGAGTTTGCGCCCGCTCCCCAGTTCGTTTACCTAGCAGACGATGGATAAGAATAGCCAATCGAACTAATTCGGACGGTCTTTGTAATAGAAAAAAGCGTACTAGTCTTGGGAGCCCGCTCTAGTAGGGCTAATAGTGAATTTCAAGAAGATTTAGACTCAGACACTTATTCTGGGACGCTGAACCGTGGTGTTAAGGTCACATCACGTAGAAACAACTTTGAGGACAAAAAAGTGCAATAGCTGGGAACAAATCACTTGAATAGTAAAATGTCCTCCATTCTCTTGACGGTAGGACAGTATCTTAGCGCCAAGGTGTTTGAGTAAATTAATCTCCTCAAGTAAAGATTAAGAGGCTCAGAAAGGACCTACAGACATTTTGGGTCGGCT